AGAGAGAGAGAGAGAGAGAGAGAGAGAGAGAGAGAGAGAGAGAGAGAGAAAGAGAATGTATGTGTATATACATATGTATATCTGTTAATTACACTACACTGCTTACACAATTATTGTGCCTGACGCTTAATAATTTATATGTTTCGTTCTGTTTGCAGATGTTTATCGAGAGATGATCGCAAGACTCGGAAGATTAAGTAAAATTGCAACTACACATGCGGATAGCGAAAATCGTTATTATATTTTCGATTAATTTTAAACTGCATCATTTTAATATTGCTCAAAAGAATGCTGCAACAATTAATGATCGTTGAAAATTTTGTAAAAAAATAAATAAATTTTTCGTGAAACCGTGACAGAATCGTGAGAAAAAGTCACAAAACGTGTGAAGCTATGCTTCAAACATGTGAGAAAAAAATATCGCTGACTCTATCGTGGCACAGTTCTGAACCGCAGTTCAAAATGTTGGAAGACTAGCCGAGCAGTGAAACAAAACATTCATAAATACAGTTGTGTGATAACAGTTCGATAAAGTGACATCTCACAGCAATGTAACATTCGCTGGTATATCGGGGTGTATTCTGGGCACAGGCGAATGAGGGAGAGAACGAAAGATCGAAGAGCACGAGTGACAAGAAAATGTCGATTCAGGGGCGCAACCTGTCCGATAACACCGCTTCCACCGAATATTTCGGTGCTTTAGAGGCCGATGATGACTCGTCGATTGTTACCGGCCTCCCACGATTCTCCACCGTCACTTCCGGAATTGCCAACGTCACCTCGCCAGTCATCCCGCAGTCATCCGGTCAAGACAGCCTCCTGGAGAATCTTATTATACCGCTGTACGGCACAATCTTCTTCCTTTCCATCGTCGGGAATTCTTTAGTACTCATCACCCTGGCGAGGAACAAACGGATGCGCACGGTGACAAATGTTTATCTGTTGAACTTGGTAAGTCTCTCTGTATTCTGTACTCTGTACTCTCTACTCGGCTTCTGTTAGAATACGAGCTGTCCTCCACAAATGGTCAGCACATTATCCGACTCTGTGGCCTTTCATGGGAGGAAACGTTGAAGAAAATTATGATAATAATACGCAACGGGAACGTGGAAAGCTATAAATTTAAAGAATAAATTGTTCTGCCTTTCTCTGGAATGGAATCGTTGAATACCTATAGTACCGCAATAGATTAATTTTGAAAATTTTTAATTTATTTAATCTAATCAAGAATCTTTCACGACTTATTTCTAATAAAAATTATGTAACATATTACTTTTTTAAATATTAATAACAAGGTCTTTTATAATGTGGATACAAGATGCGCTTTTATAATCATGTATTTTAAGAAGAAATTTAAATATCCTTTTTATTCATGAACATATATAATGCCATTATTTAAAATTCAAATGACAGCATTCCGCTATGGATGTAGATAACAATGCAGAAAATGTTCATCGAAGATCTCGCCAATTGATCGTAAATTAGCCTTCACATTTTGCACACAATAGTATTTGGCGGCAACATGCGGTAACATGGCCCAAAACTGATTATCCCGGCGACATTACTGACAACATGCGATAACATTAGATTGCTCTGTAATTAATCTTAATTGAATCTACGAGATGAACGAATCCTGATAGTATTTTTCATATTTGTTCGAAAATTATTAAAATTCAGTCCAATAATTTTTATTCGTGCATGTACTTATAATTTTTAATAACTGGATAATATTATTAAACTTTTAATTAGCATGATAATAAATAACAAATTATATTCAATTTCATGCGTACATATCGCTCTTTAAATCTATATTATATAATTATTTTTTAATAAAGTCCACATTTTAAAATATCATGATGTTTAAAATATTTGAAGCAAAATCTTTTACGTTCCAAACATATGTAATATACAATCCAAATATAAGAAAAGAAAGTTATATTGGGCATATATTTATATACTCGTATATACAAAGTTGCTCTCCCGATTACGTCATATCGAATACTTCTGACACAATAGTTTTTCACAATTCCCTCAATAATTCCCGCGCGGTTAATGCATTATTTAAAAATAATGTGCAAGCGTTCCGTCTATAGACTTAGCTGAACAATTTTTCAAATCAGATACGGGGTAAAATATAACATTGCGTGTCTGCTCAATGAAATATTTCTTGCACTTTTACGATGTCTCGTGCAGGCTTCTGCGCGAGCGAAAATACCCGCTAGCTTGCGCGTGAGTTAATAAATAAAAACAGAGGATGATAAGAGAGGCAACGAGACCAGGAGATTCAAGGGTCCGCAGTGTGTCCTGCGCGCATCTGTTTGCCGAACCATTTTTGCATATTTCGTGCGAGTGGTGCGCGAGGGAAAAACTGCCAACAGCACCTTTTTTTCGGCTACACCGGCTGCTAGTGATTCGTCACGCATGCATTGTCATCATTCTTTCCAGAACGAAGAAAAATGTCGGTCACGTTCGCGAACGTCGGGGACCTGAAACCTTTTCTTGCTACGTATTCAATGAGGACAAACAATTGATCGGTGGGCTTTTAAAAGAATATTTACGAACGTTTCGTTTATCAATTTTACTTTATAATGTGAAATCGTTGCGTAAGAAAATCTTCAGCGCACACAAATTTGAAATTAGCGACAATTCATGGTTCATTAGTTTATATTTATTCATTGTCTGAAATTTTCAAGATATATCTACTTTTAATTCAGTCACTAATTAAACAGATTCATTTTTAACCATGAAACAAAATATAAAAAGTATGGAAGAATTACAAAGCAGTGGATATATATTTTTAGCATTTTACTGATAAACAAAAATCCGTTAAAATTACCGTATAATCTTTAACCCTGGTATATTTTATTCCTATCCGATCCAACGGTAGACACTCGATATGCTTGTTTTACGATACTTGCTCGCTCGTGCGCGAAATATGAAAGTGTAATCAAACTGTCCTAGATGATTTTTTTTTTAGAAATACACTATGCGTCGAAATTGTTTGCGAAGAAATATATGAGTTTTTGAATATTAATATTAAACGAAAAATTCTGGTGGCGCTTACGAATTGCAAAGGTACAAAAAAAAGAGAACGCGCACAAATAACGCAAATATTATTTACAAATATTTAGAATGCAACAACAAAAATATTAAAGTTGATAAATAGGGTTCAGTTTTTTTTTTGTTGCTATTTTGCCTGCTCACCTCCATATCAAAGTATCCAATAGCGTGTATCTCGATGAATAGATTTTTCAACTCTTAAGGGTTTAGTGCATATAGATATGTAAAAATAGATTGCTTGAATTGAGAGTTACTTGAGAAAATATATAATATGTTTAGTAAAAGCAATAACAGCTTCAAATATGTAATCTCGAATGTACGAGTAATCCTAGGAGTTAATATATAAATGCATTTTATTAAACTTTCATTATTTAATTTTTTAATTATAATTAAAGATTTTAATTATTTTAATTATAATTAAATAAAAAGTAATTTCTGCCAAATAAATCAATTCAAGATACAAATAATATTTCCCTAGCTTTCATTAAATTATTATAAAATTTAACGTAATAATAATTTTTTTAAATAAAAAAATAAGACCTATTAAAGTTTTTGCTAAGAAAATTAATTTTAAATTAATTAAAAAATTTTTATATAATGTTTGACAGTATATATAATTTTTTGATATCTAATATTTTTTTATATAAGATTGTTTCAGGCATAATATTGTAACAATATTACAGTTTAATGTACTATCAATCGCAATGAAAACCATAATAATTAATAAATAATTTGCAAATACTATGCAAATCGCTTATCGTGCAAATTTTTATTATAATTTTATTCAAATAGATTTTATTTACTTAATAGTATTTTTATTGTAATTATTGCCTTTGAATATTACCTGATAATGAAAAGCATACCACTCTGTTGATATTTAATCAAATACTCATTACCATGAAAGCTTGCGGTATTTATACTATTCGGATCTCATAATGGTACTATGCAGCGTCTCATTAAAAAACATTTCTTATGAATATCGAGAAAAACATTACGTGAAATAATATAAAATTACGATTAAATAAATTTCATAAAAAAATAATGCAATTATAGGAAATTAATAAAAGAAATAAACTGTGACATAATTTTACACATTAAATAACGCTGCGGAATAAAAGCAACGGTAACGTGATTAATTTATGATATCAACCAATAGTACGATTTATGATATTAACCAATAATATACGATTTAAAAAAATATAAATACATATTTACATACATATATTAATCTTCCATATTCATTGTCACAGCGCTATCGTCTTAATACAGAATTTCATAGCAAAATCCTCTCGAGAGATCATATAATGCATATATTTTCGAAATATTCTATTTCCCGTTTTGTATTTCCGCAATCTTCCTTCAACAAGAATTCATCCTACTGATAAGCGCCTTACCAGAGACTTCAGCTTGGCGCCGGGAAGCTTTTCCGGAAATGTAGTCAATAAATATAATCTGCTATATGAGTTGGCTGTGTACGTGTACGCAGATTATCGTATCGATATCACTCTGCCGTGTAATATTCTTTGTGAAAAAAAAAATGAAAATCGCACGAATAAATTTAATTTAATTTCCCCGAAATAGAAAAATACCTATTTTTACATATTTATTTAATATGTGATGTATCGCGTACGGATGAATCAGCGATATATGATCGCTCTCTGTTATACAAAATATTTTGTGCAGCTTGCGTAAGAGATTGTGTACACGATAAAACGATTCTCCGGTATCGGCTGTATTTTTGGTATCATAAAATGAAAACCTGAAAACTTGTACGTAAACATCGCAGAATGTAAATTTAATCGCAAGTATTTTTTACGACCTTTGCACGTCATTTATTTCCCGCCCGGTATTTTAGTTGGCGCTCCAGAGGAGGTTATTCGCGGAAAATTTTAGAATATGATAATGTACGACTTAACCCTCCTCCTCCCTCTTTCCTAAAGAGTTCACGTATTCATACGGCTCGTCGCAAATGATACCCGCCCGTTCCAAATGTGGCCTTTTGTCCTCTATCGTACGCCGAGTGCAGACTCTTCGAGTTTCAAGAGAGTACATGCCAAATCATCATCATTAATAATATATAGTGACTGAATCTCACGTAATAACGGCTTTATTTATGCGTGCATTATGTGAATGTGTTTTTGACATCACGGGAGAAAAATGGTAATGCGTAAGCACATACATCAATTCGGTGTCAAAACCGATGTCACGATCCAGCACGGATTTGCAGATCTCGAAAAGTGGAAATGATGAAAATTGAACTATATCTTCAATTATAAAGAATTTAATAACGATAGATCTGCAGATGCTGAATTCGACCTGTCGATATCCATTCTTTTTTTACGCGATTTCACGCGTACAAATGAGAATCTCTCTTTTTTTATAAATTGATCTAACGTTTGAAGAATATATTTCGCACAAATTGGTCCGTATCGGCAAATTCTTTTTTCAATATACGTTACTCTCTCGTATATGGTAAAATGTCAAAGTTGAGATTGCTTAAATGCTACGCTAGTGTTCCCATCAATCAGAGATGATCGATACCGTGTTCTGACTCAATACCATTCATCTGGCCTCCCTTTCAACTTCCTATTTGTTCATCTCATACCCGAGACCACTAAATCAATATATAGCAATTATTTTTATAACACGATTTTTATAAACGTAACAATTTAGGGAATAAAGTGACCACCCACACGTTGTGCATTTCTATTATCACGCTCGTCCATCAGAGATATTGATTTGTTCGAAATTCTATTCACTCCTAATCGATTACGCTCTCTTATCTATCGTAACATTTAATTATTATTCTAAACTGTATTATCAAATTGCATCATTTTTTAAGGTAAAATAGACACTGAATTGTGCTTAGAGATTTGAAAACAATGTAACAA